GATTTGCTTTTTCGAAATAGAAACAATTAAGTAAGGAGGCAAAATTAGTTTAAGTCAGTATATTGCTGACTCTCAGAAAATTACATGTCTGATTATATGATGTCATATCAATCATTTTAAACAAATTTTCATGCTGAATTTAATGTCAAAAATTGAAAATTCCGATCTTTTATAGTGTTATGATAACTTACAGGAATCGATAAGATTTACGACCACGACCTCTTCCGAGAATTGGTGGAAGTTAATGTAGTCTATATGAACCTAAACTGAGATAGTTCTTTGAAAATAGTGTTTATGGTAATATCATAAACACTATTTTAAGGGTTAATGTATACCGTATATGTAATGTAATGATATGAAATATGGCAAAGTAAATTGTTTTATGTACTCATTGTATTTCAAATAATGTTTGACTTTTTTTTTCAAATAATGTTTGATTTAAATTCGTTTAATCCAGCATTTCTTCATTGAAATACATTTATGGGAAAACTTTTGTGACAATGATAGTTAATGAATAATACAATATTCAAGTGATTAATGAAAAAAATTATTACAATGACAATTGACAAAAGTTACGAAACAATAAACATATTTATAGTAAAAATTTTGGCAAATCGATTTCTAAAATATAATTTTATCACGATATACAAGTTTAATGTTGAGAATTTCAGTAATACTGTAATTATTATTCTGTGCGTTTTTTTAAAATCATAACTGATAATAACGTTTTAAATGTAATTTTAATATTTAATAAGAAATATTTGCTAGTTATTCAACATAAAGTCCTAAGATTTTCAACTTAAGAGACAAATATTCAGAATTAGGTTCATGTAGGATTTTGCAAAAGTTTCTGTAGAGGTCGCTACCGTTAAATTACCAAACTTGTTTTCCCTGTTCTTTTTGTAGCCTTAAGCGTACTTAATTTAAAATGACATACTTTAATCACAAATACAATTTTTTCTTATCGCGGTGGTTCGTTATTGCCAAAAATGAATGAATTTGGAATAATTGTGACAGAATTCTAATATCAATGTATATTTTTTTAAACATTAGTTTGTTAAATGTACGGTACCTTGACTTGTTTATTTATTTATATCAATAAATTGTATTAATTAAGAACAAGAAACTGCTTTCTCCAATAAACATGAAAAAATCCCATTTAAATACATACTGCTAAATTAATACATACAAAAACTTTATGCTTGGTGAGTGCTAAAATATGTTTAAATGTAAGCCTGCTTCCTCCTCTCCCATGTTCATGTACTCCAAAAAATCCTTCAGCCTGTCTTTGAATCCATTACTAAAAATAATAGTAAATACAGCCTACTGATGTAACCCATCTTTATATCACGTCTTATAAGGACCTCATGGATGACATATGAGACAGTGGAGTGTACAAAGAAAAACAACTGGAATCATACAAATTAATATATTTCTCTAACTAGATTAAAACTCAAGATGTATAGAATAAAATTTTGTGTATATATAATCTATACATTTTTTTTTTTTTTTTTGTCAAATCAAAATTCAATAGTACTAAATATCTTTAAAGTTTCTATTTGTTCAGTCTTTTCCATTTGTATCCTAATTGTATCCTAATCTTATTCTGTCACTGACATTATTGATCATTATCTTCTACGTAACTTGCACTCCAGTATTTTTAGACATTTACAGGGAGTCAACTTTAAGGGAAAATGTGATTTTGAAATTATTTTTCCTAAAATTGATTACTTTCTATTTTTCTATAAATTTCAATTTTTTTTTGAAATTCCATGAACTAACTATCATTTTGTTCTAATTTAGAAGAGAGAAAGAAAATGTTAAATGATATGACTTGTTATCAAATGATATTGTAATGTTTTTGCATTTTTTAATTTTGAATGCATATTAATTGATGTTATTTAGCAAGTGACATCAACTGGTATCATTTGGAAACTATTCTGTTCATCAATAATATAATTAATATAAAAATCAAATAATACAATTTCAAATATATCAAATCAATATACAAAATAATAATAATATGTGATTTGNATTTTGAATGCATATTAATTGATGTTATTTAGCAAGTGACATCAACTGGTATCATTTGGAAACTATTCTGTTCATCAATAATATAATTAATATAAAAATCAAATAATACAATTTCAAATATATCAAATCAATATACAAAATAATAATAATATGTGATTTGATATCAACTGATCTCTCAAAACTGTTTAGTCAATTGACAGTTGATATCAATTTTCATATGAAATTACCTCAAATAAAAAATTATTCTAGAAGTGACATTTATCTCATCAATTGATACCAACAGTATAATGATATGATATGATATACTTACAGTATATCATCTCATATCGTTAATACTTTACAATTTTTTCTTTTGATATGAGATGATATACTGTAAGTATATCATCTGATATGAGATGATATACTGAAAGTATATCATCTCATATCGTTAATACTTTACAATTTTTTCTTTTGATATGAGATGATATACTGTAAGTATATCATCTGATATGAGATGATATACTGTAAGTATATCATCTCATATCATTTGGTCATTTGAAACTGTCCAAAAACTGCTTCAGAAATGATATTACTGGTGATTGATATAAGTTGAAAATGGTGAAATTATATTTTAACTAGAAAATTTTAAAGTAGTTTTTAATGTAAAATATGAATTTAAAAGTTCTATAATATTGTCTATTTTGAAACTGTTTTGAACTTCTTTTTGTTTGTTTTTTTTGTGTCACAACCAGGGTTATGGAGTCAGAGTTAGGAGGAATTTCTGGCCAGAGGAGTTGGAGTTGGAAAAAAAATGTATCGACTCCGACTCCCACATTTTAAATTTACTTTAATTGTTTTTATTTAAATGAAAGAAAATTTATTTTATATTTATTAATTTTTAAAAATCTTTTTGTATTTTGTTATAATTCATTTATTTTAAATACAAAATGCATCAATTTAATTTATTAAATACAGGTGGCTCTCAACTTTCGCACATAATTGGTTCCTGAAAGTGTGTGCTAATGTTGAATGTTTGAAAGTAGAGGAATGTAAAAAAATATGCACCAAAAACTGTGTTTAAAATATTTATTCCTTAATTTTACTCTTATTTTTCAAAATTGCACATATCGTAGATCTGTTTACATCATACGAACATTCGATTGAAGCAAAAGATTCATTGTTTTCAGAACGTTTAATTATTGTCTTGGTTGTATGAAGTTTATGAGTCCTTAATTTATTTTTGTTTGTATCAACACTGCAATTTCTCCATTTCTCACTCATGATTATCAGTTTATAAGGACGAAATATTTAAACATAAATAAATAAATTGGCAAAACACACAACACATTGACGCACACCCTAATTCAAGACTCAAACTATTTTGAACTCTTGCTTGGAACAACACAGTAGTGATTAGGATTCCAAGAAATCCGCTATTATAGGAAGTAATGTGTGTCCGAGAATGTAGAGCGAGCTACTGCACTTTGTAGTGTATGAGCATTCTGCATGGAAGGAAATTTTTTCATTATCAACAAAAATATTTAAAAAGTTAAATTTTTAAAAATGTGCGAATTGTGCAAAAGTCGAGGGTCGCCTGTATATAGTATTCTTTGTAGTATTTGTGTTTAGTTGTTAATTAATTAAATTAGTCTGACCCAATTGAATTTGAATATTTTTGAATCATTTCTTTATTATCCCTACTGTAAATAAGTACTCTATTTTTCTGAATGAGCCAGACTAATTGATCAGAGTACATATTTTTCTTTTCTGAACAAGGGGCTGAAGTAGCTAGATTGCACACTTTTTAGTTGGACTAACTCTTCTGGAAGGGTGAAATTGAAGTGCAAATGCTGTTGAATATATGTAGAATTTTATTGCCCCCTTTCTCCTCTTATTAAATATTTGTTAAAAATTAATTTTTTAATACAAATAAATATTAATGTAAGTTAAGGAGTAAGGGGTTAATGTAAGTTAGATATTAAAAATACTAACTATAAGGGCATTTGGGTAAATGCCCCAGGCTCCTTTCAGAGTTTAGAGTAGGATAGCTCCTATGAGCACCTCTGCCCCCCAGCAAATGACTTTGTATTTAATTTTTCCAGAGTCGGGAGTCAGCCTACTAAAATTATCAGGAGTCGAGTGTTTTTTTTTATTGACTCCGCAGCCCTAGTTACAGCTAGGTGCATTGATAGACACTAGGCATTTTGGCATCACTCTTTATTCTGTAATATCATGTGGGCTGATACATGTTTTGGGCATTCACCCCTCTTCTGTTGGCTTTACTTTTGAGATATCTCGTAAGAGGTTAGGTTAGGTTAGGTGTGTTAATAAATATACATTTTATCAGCTCATACTTGTGATGTCCTTGTTTTAAAACAAGGACATCACAAGTATGAGCTGAGTGCTGTTGAGGGTAATGCCAAGGAATTTTGACTGAAAAAATTTTAACTGTAACTAGTGTAATTTTTAAGTAAGATGTATATTTATTAACACCTTACAAGATATCTCAAAAGTAAAGCCAACAAACGAGGAATGAATGCCCAAAATACTTATCAGCCCACAAGATATTGAAGAATACAGTTATTCCAAAATGCCCAGTGTCTATCAATGCACCTAGTTGATACAAAGAAACAAAGTTCTACAATATTTTTATACAAAATTAAAATTAATTAATTAATTAATTAAAACTGATTTTTAAGCTGTATTTTTTCATGTTTATAATAATATGAAGTAAAATAAATGGATGAAAAATCTTGAGAATTAAGAGTATATTTACTTTATGATTTCTTATACATATAATCAATTGCATTGAAGCTGATACAGCTACTATGTGTTTATATTTGAATTGTATTTTGATGAATCATTTTATGTTATATAACTTTACCTCTATTTTACTATGAATATTTGGATGGTGGTACTATATATGTCATACATAAATTTAATGTGTAATGTTTTTAAAGTTTTATTAAATGTAATTAATTTAACAGATTGATCGAGCTAGTGCTGCTCATATTAAATTATCTTCAGAAGATTTAACAGAAGAAGAAGATGAATTTGGCTATTCAATGAGTGAGTTTTTGTAAAATTATAATTTTTTATTACTAATATTAAAATAAAAAATAATATAATTTAAACTTTAAAATCTTTTAAACTACAGTATTGTATTCAAAATTCTTATTTGTAAAGAATTAAGAATTAATTGTTGAAAACAAAACAGTAATTAATAATGTGTTATTTAAATACAAAAATTAAGTGTGTGTAATATATTTAAAAACTTTTGATATATGTAAATGTATATCAAAAACAGAAAACTTCTAATAATCTGAAAGTAATTCTAATCAAACTATAAAAAAGGTAAAAGTAATAATACAAAACTATAGCACAGATGTATTGCTGACATAGTCTATTGATACTCAAAGAATTTTAATAAATTTTATTTATTCTTTACTAAGTGTTAAATGGTTAAATATATTTATAAGTTTAATGATCTGTACTTTTGATTTTTCTGTAATTTCTTTTAAAAAATTTTATAGACAATATTTTAATTTTATGTTAATGANTACAGTAGAGCGTCGTTTATCCGAAAGCCGGTTATCCGAAAGCATTCCAGTCGGCAAATTTAAATTTTCGCTAGTGCTGTGGCGCTGCAATCTTTGGCTATATCTTGGGCTACTCCAATATTTTTTTTGTTGATGTGTGTGTTTTAGCTGGCAGCACTGGCACATTTGTGTGGTGTTTTTCTGAGGACTGTGTGGTGCTGAATCGAACGTTTTTGATACTAGATTAACTTGTAAAGTATAATTTTTTTTGTTTTTATATTTTTCAATATATTTATTTTGTTTGTAAAAAATAAAGAAATAATTTTTTACGATACAATTGCCATGATTATTATTTTAAAAAGTTTACGTTAGGCTTAACATCGACGAAAATTCAACGCGAAGCAACACGCAACGGAGAAAAATTTCAACATGGGATAGGTTAATATATTTTTTCGTACACAATCGGTTATCCGAAAAATATGTTATCCGAACAACCCGAGTCCCCAATCGATTCGGATAAACGACGCTCTACTGTACTTGCTTTTGAACAAAAATTATGTTTGTTTATTGCAGACTTATAGAGAAAGACACTTGCTATATTTTCCTGTTGAAGAAATATCAACAGGATCATATTTCAATAGATTTGATATATTTCGCGCAAATAGTGGTAAATATGAAATGGAATTTGGTGAGAGCAGCGCCATATTGAACAATCATAGGCACAAATAAGGTGGAGTGCCCTTTAAGAGTAGGCTGTTTGCTTAGTTAGTTATGGCAACGCAACACTTGGGCGATCTGCGTAGGGGATGCCTTCCGGAAGGTCTTTTTAAGGTAAACTGGCCCCTATTTAGGTGTTACAGATGTGGAGAAAATCCGGAAAACTCCACGTGGCCAACCTGTCAGAGCGAGATACGAACATACGACTGAACTCCTAGTGTTCAGGGAACGAAGACCGCTTGGCCACTGGTGGGTCCCTAAGAGTAGGCAAATTTGATGATTTAGAAAATTTATACAAATTACTGTACTTAANTTGAATTATTTTCTTTAATAGTTGCATTCAAATACTTTTTAAATTCTCTTGTAATAAAACAAAAAAAATTATTTATATTCAGTCATAATTGCTATGTATTGGGTTTGATGTGTATGCAGTGCTGGATTTAACAATCAGAGGCCCATGGACACAAATAAGGTGGGGTTTTCCCTTTAAGAGTACGCAAATTTGATGATTTAGAAAATTTATACAAAATACTGTACTTAAAAAAATATGTTTTCAAAAATTTTACTTATTGTAAAGGTGTTAAAGCTTAAAACATTCTTATAAATTCATATAAAATTAATTAAATAATGTTTTATTTTATAAAATATAGACAATATACATTAAACATAATACATTTAAATTAAATAAAGCAAACTTGTTGATTACAAGGTTATTATAAACATACACATATTTTATTGTGTAAAATGAATTATTTTAACTTAATTGAAAAATACCTATGTAAAATTTTTTTCCAAAATTTTTTGATGTGTTTTATCGGTTTTTCTTGGGTTTGCTTTTCTCTGCCTCACAAGGCCTAGAATGAATACAGAACAGTTGGTAGGACATTATTGAGGTAGGATAAATAAGTGAGGAATTAATGTGAGGATAATATGAGGATAAGGTAGGAAATGAGATAAGAATATAAAAGGATAGGATAAAGAAAGAAAAACTTGAGGTTAGGACATAGGATGGGCACTACCCTCATACAAAGGTGGTGAGTGGCCCCTGTGACTAGGTATACTAGGCTGTCGCAGTAATAGGAAAAAAAATTATGTTTAAACATAGTTTTGTGGAGGCCCTGGTCACCAGCCCAAAATGCCCTTATGTAAATCTGGTGCTGTGTGTATATATATATACAGTCAGTGGCACACTCAGGTTTTAGTTTTTGAAGAGCCAAGTTGAATGGATAAAATAAATTTTTAATGTGAATTCAATGAAATTCCCCCTTATGTGACTGTTAATTTATAAGTAATGTAGAAATAGAAGACAACACACAATATAAATAAAACAATGAATTTTAATTAAGAAAAGATTTTAGGAAAATTTACTAGTGTTTTTGTTTTATTTTTACTTTGGGAGTGTTAGGGCCCCTGGCCTCCCTCTGGGTGCACCACTGTATACAGTAAACCTGTGTAATTGGAAGGCATGGTACCAAATTATTTTTTCTTTTGTTTTTTCATCTTTAAACTGCATTGTATAAATATCACATGTTTACATTCGGTTTTTTTAGTTTTTCATTCACTCCACCCTGAGGACACTAAAAGAGCTGTTTTATCAAGTTCATTTTGGGTTCAGCCAGGCCCACAGTGGATAGTGGAGTGATGAGGGATGACATCTGAAATATATTTTTTTTTTTTTATACTCTTTCTGCCCTGTGGTCACTAAGAGGGCCTCTTATAGCAGGTCCTCTTAGTGATCTGAGTGGGTGATCTGGGTCTGGAATGATCTGAAATATCTGGGATGGGTTACCTTGCAAAAATTTTTAGGATTTTCTGATCTGTCTGGATTCATTCCTGGTTCCCCAGAGTGGTAGACTGACATCTTAACTGCTCAGCTATCTGGCATTTTTTATAGTAAAATCACTTATTGCAATGTATATAATAAAGTTTATTATTGATATTAGTAATTCATTTTTAATCCAAAGTGATTCCAACTAAAAATTGGAGTATTCAAAAGCAAGAATTGAGTCACATAAAAAGAAAAACACACCTTTGAACATTTTTCCAGCAATATTGTGATGTAAGCTCTTTCAACTTTGATTCTCTTAAGCAAGAATTGAAAATTATTCTATTGTAAAAAAATTCTTGTTGTCTACAACATTTTGTGTTAGGCATTAAAATACTTTTCAGAAGCAATCCTTAATCCTTTCTGAACTGCATTATCATAATAAAAACCTTGTAACCATTAAATATGCAGTAACTAACATTTATTAATTTATTGTTTTTGGTGTTTTTGATTAACCGTCTTCAGGAAAATCTGTAAAATTTTAAATTTTACAGAAAGAAGAAAGCTGTCCATATTTCAAAACAGTTTTTATAAGCTTCTATTTTTGGAATATATGAATTTTAAAAAATTTTGGAAGGTTCTATGCATAGGTTATTTCACTGTGGGTAATAGACATTTTAGATGTTTATTGATTTTGCAATGTAATGTGCAATATTATATAATATGTAAAAAAAACTGACACATGTATTTTTAAAGTTTGTATATACCAAAAATAGAAGCTTAAAAAACTCATTTTGGAAACTCATTTTGGAATACAGATGGCTTTGTTTTTTTTGTAAAATTTTAAATTTTATATGTTTTTCTGAAGATGGTCAATCAAAAGGACCAAAAACGTTACATTCATAAATGTTAGTTACTACATATTTAATGTTTAGAGGTTTTTTTATTAGATGCAATCCTTATTAGTTCATTTGACAGTGAACAAGCCAATTTGAGTTCCAAGTAGTAGCTTCTTGCTCTCTATTCAAAATTATAATTGCATTATAGTAATATAGAAACCAAGTTATGTGATCCAGCTCCTTGAGGAATTTTAATGTTGTAATTAATTGTTCAATCTGTGTAGTTATCAACATGTTAATCATATTGTTTTTGAATGTTTGGTAGTAGTTAGTTAGTAACTATTGTGTATAAGTCAAATTGGCAGCACTTTATTTTATTTTTATTGTCGTTCATTTCTTTCATTACTTGCTTGTTTTTAAGAACTCACTTCTCAGAAACTCATTTGATATTTTATTTCTTGATTCTTAAAAATATTTGATTCTGCCTCTGATTAATTTTAACAAAGACCTGTATCCATATCCTTTCTTACATGACTTTCATTTCTCTGGCAAGGCTTGAAACTTAACTTATCAGAACAGTTTTTTGTGCTTTGTATGACCATTATACCTGTAGATTATTTTATTAATTTGTTTGCAAGTGGAATTTTAATTTTCCACTTTATCCTGGTTATGATCTTTGTACCCAAAAACTCTTCTGTATATGCATAGGACAGGTTTCTGACTTATAGCAAAATTTAATACAGAAAATCACTTTGTTCCAAAGAAATTTTTGCATTTAGAGAGTTTTTCATTTTATTTGGGTTCCACATTATATAGGTTTTACTATTATACATAGGATTAGTCCATTTTAATCAATCCACTGGAATAACTTGAAAAATATAAATCTACAAAACAATTCAACAATGAGTTGCATAACTTTCCCAGCTGTGAAGAGATTTTATTTAAACAAAAACTTTTATGTTGTTAATCATAATAAATAAAATTTATTTGTCATCATCTGTTATGAGATTTTGTTATAATAAAGAACTAATATTTATGACAATTAATATAAACACTATAATAGTGTGGTTGAGATTACAGGAGGATTTCAATTTATTTTTTGACCACTGACCATTGAGATCTTATCTGGAGAGGAACAGGGTGTTCAAGTTTCATGGTAGTTAAGTATGTCCTCATAAATATCACATTTATAGAAAAACTATTAGAATTAGTTTGGTTTATTTGCTGATGTGTTGCATTGCCATAACT